GTCTGAAAAAAAGTGTACCTAAACGTGTGTTCCCAATCGTTTTCTCGAATCTCAGGTAAAAATATAGATTTGTGCCCAAACGTGTTATGGCCAATGAGTTAATAAGTTAAAAATTAAGTTAATTTTAACTTATTAACTTAACTTACTAGTTTGCTGTTTAAATTAACTTAACTTTAACTTAACTTGTTTTTATCTATGTTAACTTAAAATCAACTTCCACTTTTTTAATATTACCAATTAAGTTAATTTTGAATTTTCGTTTTATCTAGAATATATTTTAGTCTGTAATAGTTCGTCGATTTAAAATTCGTAGAATATTAGAAAATATTGTCGGAAAAAAAAGAGGATATTTTCGTAATTATTTTTATAAATAACAACTAATATGTTTTATTAATTAAGTGTATACAAATAAAATAGTAAATAATAATTTATAATAAAGAGATAACATTGTAACATTGTGACATTTAGTCGCCCGTATGACCATATTATTTTATTATAAGATATATCAATAGCTACGAGCTCACGAAGTCACGTTTAATAATACCAGGATTGTTAGGTACTTATTAATTATCTTATTTTATCATTTTTATGATTGTTGATTATCATGAATTGTGACCATTTTATTACAAATATACCTATTTACCTATAAATAGTGGTGTATTATACGTTTGTGATTTTCACTTATTTTAAAACCTTTTCAATGATTTTTTTTTATTAACTTAACTTATTAATTGAAGTTAAGTTAAGTTAACAAAATTCGTTAACTTAACTTTAAACTTAATTGATGTATTAAAAAATATATTAACTAACTTTTAATTTAACTTTTAATTTAATTGAACAAAAAATATTTAACTTAACTGAGTTAAAAAAAAATCATTAACTTGCCCAGCCTTGTAATATAGATAGATAGATCGATTAGAAAAATCAAAAACATCATTTATTCTTGGTAGTGGTTAAATTGTATACGAACCATCGATCGGCTTGATTGCTAACAGCAGAAGCAGCGGTAGAACGACTGCAGTAATAATTGTAACGAATTTCATATCTAGAATAGATATTGTATAATAGTTATCTATATAACGTAAATATCCCAAGACAAGCTTATTTTTTATTGAAGTGTGGCGGATAACCAGACTATAAGTCTTAAAGGATTGGCGGTTGATAAAGTATAACTATCGTGGTACACCTGGGAGTTAACTTTTAAATTTTATTTCGTTATTTGTTAAACCATTGCGTTCCGCAATTATTTTACCTTATGGCGGTTTGATGATGTAAGTGGACGGGTGGTTGAGGACATGTAGAGCCAGGGCCGGCGAAAGCTATGGGCGACCTGGGCGACTGCCCAGGGCGCCAGC